TTTATCAACAATTTGGTCGATTTGATTACCTTATTGAAAGTATGTTTAATGCTTGTTTGAGGCTTCTTTTTGTAAAGTTTCATTTCAGTAAAATAAATCTATTTTATAATCCAAAATTAGTTCTAATGTCGTAACAATAGGACGGCTTAGGTGAAAAGGGGATTGTGGCAGAGTTTAGTTGATGTCGCTTCAATTGGTTAAGGTCTCAAAGTTTTAGTGAAAGTTATCTGATAGATATGACAATTTCACTATTAAATTGTTGAAACATATATATATATATTGGAATCTGAAAATTCAAGAAGGGAGATTCCTGAATATTGATTCAGCAGCTCTAGTCTTATTCCTACTTTTAATTTTTTTGAAATCAACGAAGGACTAGAACCTTATCAGACTCGAAAAGATATCAAGTAGAATATTTTATTGAAGCTCAAAGCCTGCATTGATACATCAGAGATTGAAATTATACAATCACACAATTACCTCAAAAATGTTTTAAGCCGAAGTTCGAGATATGAAATCAATTGTATCCGCTAAGGAATTTTTCATTAGTCTTTGAAGATGTCTGAGTAAATATAGTTTTGGTAATTGATATGAAATTTCCTAATGAGAAAAATGGAATTCTCATCTCTATACGATTTGTAATACATTAAAATTTATCGAACATCAAGGTATCTTTTTTTTTCTTTTCTTTAAGATATTACATATCTTTTATCTTTATGTGAACACGGTGATCTAGATTTACGTGGTGCATGTGCAAATTTACTTGTTACATTAATTCAAACAACAATTCATCTTTTAACACTATCATCATTATCAAATTCATTTAATAATTCTTTTATTAATCAATGTTCACTTGTATCAACTGATTCACAAGATAGTTCAAGATTATATGTCTTAATGATAATAATGCACGTGCTATACATGTTTCACTAAATGCAATTACAATCATAGAAATTAAATTATTAGAAGATTCTATTCAACATACGTCCGACAAAATCCAACCCTTCACTTCCACGTAGTGTCGGATGTAAACGTCAACTCTGACGGCTAAGATGGGCTCTGGTAAGGCTCTCAGGGCTAGTCACCCGAGATGCCTTCATACTATGGGCTATTTAATTTCAGTCTGAATTTATCAAATAAAAATAATACTTGATTTCAAACTGAAACGTGAGTCTAGGAGTGAGGGGGGGGGGGGGGAGTGACTGAGGGTGTGGGTGTTGGTCTGGGACCCACACACACACCCACACCCATGGTGCGGGTGTGGGCGCGCGAGTGAGGGTGAGGGTGTGCTTGTGGCTTTGTGTACTATAGGCTTTAGTCCCCTGCACAAGGGACTAAGCGGGGACTAAGCTTTTTGTGGGAGGGACTAAGGGGGACTTTGCAGGACTAGGGGGGACTAAGGGTTTTTAGTGGGACTACGTAGTATCAAACGAGAAAAGTTTGATTCGGAAGAAGTTGGTGCGGTTTTTTTGATTTTAGAATTCAGTTTGAAATAAAAAAGCCCATAGACTCGATGCCTTCTACAATGACTTCGAAAATAACAATAGAAGAACCCATTCCGGGCAACAGTCTCTGGCTTCGTCGCCAGCAAACGGAGATTTCGAAGAAATCTACGACTATGATAAGGCAGTTACCTGTCTTTGACATTGCAACGACGAAACCAACCAAAAAACAAAAAACAAAAACAATCCACAAGGCCATCACAATATCAACCTACAACGTTCGCACACTCAAAAGACTTGGCAAATTACACCAACTCATACACGGATGCAACGACAACAACATTGACCTGGTAGCTGTACAAGAACATCGTTGGCAAACACACGGACAAACCGGCACCTACATCGAAACTTGGAACAATTCGAAATGGCGCTTCGAATACTCCTCAGCAACACCAACAGGTCAGGGAGGCGTCGGTCTACTCATGAATCCACGGTTCTCTACACTACACTCTTCAACCGAAAAAATATCCGATCGAATATTAATCGTACATTTCAAAACCAATCCTGCAATAACAATCATCGTTGCATATGCGCCCACAGAAGACAAAGGGGACGCTGACAAAGATGCGTTTTACGATGATCTACAAAAATGTACATTAGATGTTCCACCTCACAATGTTCTAATTCTCGCCGGTGATCTAAATGCAAGACTCGGACCCGACAGCCACTTAACCAATCCACGAGCAATTGGCAGACACACATCACAACACAACAGACGACAATGGCAATAGATTGGTCAACTATTGCGAAGCATGCAACATGCGATCAACACAAACACGCTTCCCTCAACCAAAATCACGAACTTGGACCTGGCTACACCCCAATGGCAAATCAACAGCTCAATTAGACCATATCCTCATCAACGGGAAATGGTTAAACTCAATTAGAAATGCTCGCGCGTACAACACGGTCGAACTACATTCCGACCATCGAATAGTGAGTGTAAAAATGTCTATCAGCCTACGAGCACCAAAAAACAACAAATGCCAACGCATCACATACGACTGGACCAAACTCAAAAACAACTGCAGTCTCCAATCTCAATTCAACATCGAAGTCCAAAATCGTTACGACGTCCTCAACGCAAACAACCTGGACAACAACATACAAACAGAATATGACAATTTCATAGAAAGTATAAAACAAACAACAGAAAAACTAGTCGGGCAAACAAAACGATCAATCAAAAAGAACTGGGTCTCGGACGAAACCATGAACTTTTTGAGAAAACGAAACAAAGCCAAAAATATATTCAAACAAAAACCAAACCCAAACAACAAAAACAACTGGCACCAACTCAACAAACATCTTAACGCATCTTACCAAAACGACAAAATCCAATTTCTTGAAGACAAACTTGAACAGTTGAATCAAGCCGCAATCTCAAATCAATCAAGGACCACGTGGAACCTTATAGATCAAATTAGTGGAAAACGTAGGTACAACAACGCCACAAAGATCAAAAGTACAAACGGTTCTAAAATCAACTCAACCGCAGAACTGATGAACGAATGGAAACGATACTTTGAAGAATTACTCAACGTCAAGTCAAATACATCTCCAACTACACAAACAATTCCACCAGCCGACAAAGATCTTCCAATCAACACGGGTCCAATTTCGATCGCTGAAGTACAACAAGCAATCAAACAGCTAAAAAACGGAAAATCTCCCGGACTCGATCACATCATAACACCAGAAGTACTCAAGTATGGCGGCGATTGGATCGTTCACAAGCTATGCAATATATGCAACGAAATATTCGAAAATCAAACAACACCAACACAATTCAACACCAACATCATCATCCCTATACCCAAAAAGGGAGATAAAACTCTCATGTCGAACTACAGAGGTATAAGTCTCATGTCTGTTGCAGCCAAAACATACAATCGAATACTTCTAAATAGAATACGAGAACCGCTTGATCCAATTCTTCGAATAGATCAAGCTGGCTTCCGGAAAGGAAGAAGCTGCATAGATCAAATACATACAATACGTCGTATACTAGAAGGCGCAGTGGATAAACAACTACCAATCTACATCACCTTCATAGACTTCAAAAAAGCCTTTGACTCTATTGAAAGAAAAACAATGTTTGAAATTCTCAGGCATTATGGAATACCAATGAAAATGATCAACGCAATTCAAACTATATACAACAACTCACGAAGTGCAGTTCTGGTGGATGGTCAACTCACAGAAGAATTCGACGTCACTACCGGTGTTTTACAAGGTGATACATTGGCACCATTCCTCTTCATTATTGTAATCGATTACGTCATGAAAAATGCGGAAACACAACACACAAATGAACAAGGTGAACATGGATTTGTAACAAATCAACGACAATCAAAACGACAACCAGCAACAACAATTCACGATCTAGCCTTTGCTGATGATATCGCTCTGTTCGAAAGTAACTTCGACAGAGCACAAACACAATTGATCACAACAATGAATTGGGCCGATAAAGCAGGCTTACAAGTCAACATCAAAAAGACACAAGCACTAACAAACCAAAATACCAACAACAAATCTATGCAAATAAATGGAGAAGACATTCAATGGGTAGACAATTTCAAATACCTTGGCTCAATGGTACTCTCAAGCAACACAGATATCAAAGTAAGGAAAGGGTTAGCATGGAAAGCTTTCTGGAAATTGCGAAACATATGGAAATCGACAACAATACCTACGAAACTTAAGATTAACATCTTCAAAGCTTCTTGCATTTCGATTTTACTATATGGCTCCGAAAGCTGGATCATCACAAAAACCCTTGAGAAGTCCCTAAACAGCTTCGCTACTAGCTGTTATCGAATAATACTCAACATTAAACGACTGGACAAAATATCAAATAATACAATCTACGAAAAAGTGAAACAAGAACCCCTGGTACAAACAATACAACGTCGACAACTGCGCTTTATTGGACATTGCCTACGCCGAAACTCAAATGAATTTACCAACATGTATGCTCTGTACACTCCGAAACCTGGCCATGGAAAACGTAAGCGTGGACGACCCCGCTTGAAATACGTTGATTACGTCGCAAGACTGATCAGCAATGACAATCCACCAACGATCGAAGAAATCAGAAAGGCTGCTGCAGACAGGAAAAGCTGGTACGATATTGTTATCGCCTGTAAACCGCGCCTGTTTGCAGTCGACTGATGATGATTCAACATACTACAAGTTCCTGTATTCTTGCTAAAGTAGATAAAATAAATTTACGATTATAATAATTTTTTTTGTATGTATATAAAATAGGTTACTCTAGCTCAATTTATAGATGATATTGATTTTCGAATATGAACTTATCTTGAACAACAACAAAAACAATTAAAACAATATATCCTGATATACGTGTTCGTCAAGCAATTGCTTCGACTTTTGCTAAGTATGTATTTTGTAGAGATAATAGCTACGTAGCTTTTTTCGAATTTGGATAAGTCGATTTTATTGCATTAAGTTAGTTATTAGCTACTTTTTGGTTTTAAGGTTTTGTTGATCACAATTCATTTTTACCATGTCAATGGATATATAAAATTCATCATTCATTCCAAGCTCAAGCATCAACTCGAATACAAATTGTTTGTTATTTTTTGTCTTTTATATAGGTTGGATGTTTAGAAGATATTTATGTTCTTTCAAATGTTTTAAGACCAACAACAATTCGACCAATTTTTTCATAATCAATATGATGAACTTCGTTTATTTATAATTTTTTTTTAAACATCCCTTTATATTACATGATCTTAATAATTTAATCTTTTCAAGTAAAGAGAAAAAAAGATATTTATTATGTTTTTTTTGAATTCTTTCTTTTTATTTGAAGATTTATCAAATCTCAACAAATGAAAAAATGTTTTGAAAGTAGCACAAATGATTCAAGTATTTCGAAAATTCAACTATTTTATTACCATTCTCGAACTATTGCAAAAATATGCATAATCATCATTTTTTTTGGCAGAAGATAATTTCCTATAGTTGATATATCAGTTTTCACAGAAGAAGAGAGTTCCAAAGTTTTAGATTTGAAGAATATATGTAATCATGTCTTATCTAAAGGAATTCATTTGTTTTTTCTTTTTAAATAGAATGAAAAAGATTCATCAACAACATCAAACACAGACAAAGATAAAAAAGTTAATCATACACAATTAGGTACTTTTGGAAATTATTCGAATTAATATGTTTATCATATCAAATACATAAACGTTTATTAAATTCATCAGAAATGATCATTATTGTCTATGAAATCAGTTTTAAGTCCTATTTCTACACAAGATTTATCAAAAAAATTTAGAAAAGAAACACTTAATTATTTTAAATCAACATTCAATATACACAAGAGATAACTTCTTTTAAATAGTAAATATTTTTTGTAAAGAAAATTTCAATTATTAATCTTTTTGTGTACTCAAAAAGTGAG